CTATAGATAAACTAAAGGTTCTTAGAATAATTAATCACTAAAAGAATAGCGAAAATTAAACAATGCCTCACTATTATTGTTTTAGTAAAAGTTTGGGTTCGTTAACACCTGGTAAAAATTAAAAAGTTGTAGCAATATTAAGAATAAAAATTAAATATTATTATGTTTGAAACTACTAAAACACTTATGTATCTCGCAGTAAATATAGGTAGATCTTAAAAATTGTAAAATTAAATGCATAATTCCAAATAAAAAGATAAATAGCATGAAATTTTCAGTTTCTTTCTGAGAAAATTGAGGAAATCTTTTAGTTTTTTTCACAGTGAACGAACTTTGTATAAAACTACCTTTTTTTTTAAATAATGGCAAATAAACAATGGTAATACAATTTGATTAAATGTAGGGAATAATTACTAATTTTGGTATTTAAAATGTTACAATGTTTGACAGTTAAATTATATTGTATTAATCTTTATTGTTCAGAGTTGTTTTAGCTGCTATTGTTAAGACACTTTACAATCATCATCTTTAAAAACATTTCCAAAAAAAAAACACGTTTTATGAAGTTAAATTTTTTGTAAAATTAAAAAATAAACCAAAATTTTACTTTTTTTATAAATTTATAAAATTGACAATGTTTTTAAACATTATTATTATTATATTATTAATAACAATATTATTATTAAAATTATTACTATTAATAATAATTATTGCAACTAGATTTTTTAAATGTTATAAATTCCAATTTTTATATTTTGAAGCTTAGAATTAAAAGAAAGGAAAATAACTAAATCTAAGATTAGTACATTTCAAATTTAACTTTTGTATTTTATCAAGACATAGAGCAACAAAAATTTTCCAAAAAAAAAAAATCATAAGAAATTATTGTTATTATTGTGCTAAGTTTCAATCTAACTAAGTTACTAAAATTAAATAAGCATCATTATTATTTATTATATTATTTATTTATTTTATTACTTATTTCATTTATTTATTCGATTTCATTATTCATTTATTTTTTTACTAAAGCTAATACTGAAACAATATTCACATCATCTTGATAGCTATTTTTTGTTTGATCCATGTATATTTTCAAGCACAAATGATGTAAAATCAGTCAAAAAGATTAAAAATAGCAAATTTTTCTGAAATATTTTTTTCGGTTAATAATAAAAAGAAATTTTCAAACAACTTTCGATCAATACCCGTAACCATGATAATTTTAGTACAAAGTTAATTTCTTGATAATGTTTATGATGGTACTAACGAACAAAAAGTTCCATTGAGAATTTTAACAAATAATTAAAAGAAATTCGACCACAATGTGACGTTCAATTCTTAAATTTAAACCTTTTAAAATTTTTAATTATTTAATAAAATAAATAAATGTTGCTGTAATTAACACATATATGTCTCTCGAACAAAATCTTTTTATACATGCTTTCCTAAAAATAAATTAACACCCTCTTCACAAATTATTTATCATTCATTTAATTAATTCTCAACATTTAATATGCATGTAAATAGGTTTTTTTAAATCAATAATAGAATGAAAAATAACGGCAATGGTATAGAATTATAATAAATTAAGAATGTCATCTGTATATATCGTGACACCATTATCAAAATTGATATGATAAAACACATGCTCCTTCGTGATGTAGTACAACCGTTCATTAGCATATTCTTTTACATATTAGCGGCATATTCTTTTTTTAATATCTTAGTACATTGTCTTTCTTACAGATTATCTTAGTATATTATCTTGTGGAAAATGAACTATGTTTATGTACACCTTAAAAACAATGCTAAGCTTATGGCTTAAAATCTGTTTTTAATAAAAATAAATAAATAAATAAAATAACTAAAAAAGAAAATTTCATAAACTTTTTTCCCAAAAATGATTACTGGTTACTTATTTATTTCATACTTGTTCTTTTTTGGAAAAACAAATCATTTTTGCTGATCTTACTAAATTTATGAACATAATATTTAATTGTTGGCCCGAAATTAGGCAATATCATAACTTCAAACAACTACGGAATTTCTGTAATTTCGGAAATTCTTTAACTTGAAGGTAGAAATTTATAATTATTGATATTTTAATGGATTAGAATTAAAGAATTTTATCCTTTACTAGGCTTAAATAATTTTATCAGGTATAACAATGGTCAGAATGACAATTTGTAATGTTCGTATGAAACAAAAGTTTGATAAATCTATTTGCTTTAAAAATTTTGGTTCAAGTGCACTACTACTGAAAACATAATTCTCAGAAAGCTGAAAAGTTGGAGGGTATGTAGCCTCTGGGGGTGTAACTTTTCTCAAAAACTGAAGAAGATTGTGATTATTTCAGTTCTTGCTTATTTTGTGTAGAAATAAAACATCCTTTGCAGAGATACCAACTTGCTCCGGACTGAGGATAAACATTTTCTAGTGGTAGTGTTTTAATGTATGATTCTTGGTTAGTTAATTCGATTCATAGGATTTTTACTCACCACCATTTCTAAATAATTCAAAGAGTTATCTAAAATGCCACTTTAACTGTGTCCATTTCAAACTTCGCAGTTTAAACAGATTGTAAGCAAATTTTAGTTTGTAGTACTCTACTGATTTGTTTAAATATTTTAAAGAATCCAAAGTAGTAGGCATCTTTGTAGTTATAGCGTATATGCCAACCCGAAATCCTAGGCTTCCACAATTTTTAAAGTGGTACCTAAACAGCAATTTTTATAAGCTTACATATTTTTGCCAGCACTTACTATTTTTTCCGTTATAATTAATTATCTGGTCTTATATATTTGTTTAAAATGGTTATCCTTAGTGGTGGTTTAAAAGGTTGTTAATCAAATTTATTAAATACAAAATTAAATAGCTTAGAATGAAAATTACAAATAACGACTCAGAAAAATCTCCCGCCAAAAGTGGGATAAGTCGGCAAGCATGCTTAACCCCTTGGGGACGGGTGATTCAGAAAAGCATTCGTACAAAATCAGAATCAAGTTGTAATTAAATAAAAAACGGTAACTTAAATGTTGTCGTTGCTAATTTGACAGACTTACTTTGCTTTTACTTTAATTATTGTTAGTTTAATCATATATATAATCAATGTTAATTCAAACTCCAACTAAATAGTTTTATTTTGAACAAAGTAATGGTGAATTAAATAAATCAAGCAATTTTAACTCCGCCCACAAATAAACTGCTAAAGAATTACCTTGATTACCAGTTTTATCTTTTAACCCTGGTTGATACGGTTTTATGCTGGCACGTATTTGTGACAGTCGGTGCGAAAGGTTTAAAGAAGTAGATTTCAAGTAAAAATAAATATTTAAAAAAAGAAGAATTTGGGATAACGAATACTTTGCTTCTTCTTGGAAAAAGCGCAAAAAATGAAATTGATATTCACCACCAGTTCTTTCTCTTTTACAGACGAGTAAAAGCACTGAATTTTAATATTTTAAAACTTAAGAGGCAGTCAACTCAACAGAAAATATCAATTTACTTAAAACATAAATGTACTTTTTACAGCATTCAAAATTTTTAGTTTTCGCAATAGTAATCTGGAATGGCTAAAAATTAAAATCAATTCGCTACATATTACAGTGCAGAGATGTTATCATAATTCTTAAGAGTTTTTTTTTTTTAGGTATTCGTAAAATTGATAAAAAGAACAAGATAAATTATATGAATAGAAAATCAACCTGTTGTTACGTATTTGTTTTCGACGCATACTATTTCAGGGTAAATTTTATCTTTTTAATTATCTGATAAAAACAAAGCAGAACAATTACGCAGCTTAATCGTAACATGCTTTAGAATGGTGACTACTTGCCTTGAATTACGAATACAATCGAAGAATATATATATTAAAAGTACATTTAAAGCACATTTTAAGATGAACCATAAATTTAGCACCTTTTTAAAAACTATAAAAAGAAATCTCTATAAAAAGAAACTCTATATAAAAAGAAATCTCTATAAAAAGAAATCGTGCACAAGAATTTCAGCAGTATTTACAGACAAAATTTGATTTTCTCAAAAATCAAATTAAATTTCCAATAACAATTTTGCAAATAAAAAGAAATAAGAAATTTGCAATTGTATGAATTATTATATTAGATTGGTGTAAATAAAGTTAATAGTTAAAAAAAAAAGGTAGTTTGTTTACTTTTAATGTCAATGAATGTTTTTTTATTATTATTTAGGTATCACTTTAAATTTGCTTACGATAAAAGTATATTTTTAAAACAATTTATTTTTTACATATTTATTAAAGATACATGATTAACACAACTTCTTAATTATGTTTTAAAATAATGTATTGTATAAATATTGCATGAAATTATGCATTTGTAACGCATTTTGGGTCACTTTTTAAAAAAAACATTCTCAAAATTTTTATTTTACGTTTAAATAGATATTTTTGAAACATTTCAAACAATATTAGTTCTATATACCTTATTCAAGATCGAATATTTCAATAATTTTTAAAAAATTAATGTAGTATACATTATTTTTTATAAGATGTGATTTATTATGTATTTTAATTAACATTTTCTCAATTTTTTTTTCTCAATATTATTTTCTTTTCAAATTCAATTTATCTTCCATTCGTATTTATTAAAAATTTCGTTTCTAAAATCAAAATGTACAAAAAAAAAAAAANAAAAAAAAAAAAAAAAAAAAAAAATAATGATAAATAAATAAATCGTTTAAAATGTCATTATAAATTTCAAAAAAATATTCAGTTAAAAATTCAGAAAACGTTTATTATTATAGTAAAAAAGAGAGACGTTATGAGACTTAAAAATGCATCTAAATATTTAAAATCTGTTTTAGATATCCTAGTGAAAATTCAACAGATTGTGTATACAAGTTGATATAACGCTTGAAGAAAACAATAATATTTCTAATAACAATAATTCATTTTCAACAAAATAGAGTTTATGAAACAGAAACTAAGAATTAAGAATCAGCTGTTTTGATTAGTCACTCACCGTAATCTTCATCTTCGAGCACTTCAGAGTAAACTGCAGTAGAAGAGAAGCAGGATGAGGATCAACATGTTGCACTGCAACACCTACGCTTATTGGTCCCGTGAGACCACGTGATTCAGATCCTCTCGCAGACGATAAAAAATAAAAATAAATGCAAATCTATTGCCCGCGCGTGGGCTTCCTTAAACATATGGTTAGAAATATGAGCTGGAATCCGTGGAACGTTTTTAGTTTGGCGTAGAAATGTATACAAACCAGATAAACTATACGTAATTTAATTTTGTTATTGTTTATAAAATGAGTTACATTTTTTCAATGCCCGTATATGGTGAATTATTTACATGAGTATTTTTCTTCTTTTTCTTTTTTATTGGCATATTGTAATAACAAACTAGTTCGAATCAACTGAACGATAATTATTAAATTTAATTGTCTGAAAATATTTTATTCTAAACAACAGTATTCTAAATAGTTCTCTGGAGCAATAGATAAATATTCAAACAAATTGAAAAGCTATTCAAGTTTTTCAAAATTAAAGTTACTTTATCAGAAAAAATGGCAATGGTGATAATTTTCTGAAAAAATATGAATACCCAATAATGCTCTTATGTTACAATACAACCGCAAACCGTGTGAAAGTTAGCCAAGTTTTAAAAGAACAATATTTGTAGCCTTTAAAAATTCCTCTGAATGCAATAATACCAATTTTGCATTCAAATAAATACATGGATAAAAATTTTACATTAAAAATTTATTTAGTTGCAAACTATTATAATTATATTTGTTTTTTACAACTTTATTTTTAAATTTTAACTTTTATCATGTTATTACTATTATCAACTAATATTATGAGTTAAAATCTCTCGCGCCATTTTTCTTATGTGTCTGAAGTGGTTGCAAAAATTTGATTTTAGAAACAAAATTTTTTTATGAAATATTTAAAATTATGCATAAAAAAATCAAGTTAAATCGTGCCATAATTTACACTTTTTGAGTAAAATGCTTTCCAATGGTAGAGAAGAAAAAAGTTAACAGAATTAGAGAAAAGTTTGCTGCTTATGTTTAAAAACAACTACATTTTTTTCTTCATTTTTTTTGAATAACCGATGTTGAACAGCCGATCTATTTGTGTGTTTATAACTATCAATGCTCAACTCCGTAGCCTTGTAATTTTGAATCCAATCCAGAGGACAAGGAAACTCCTGAATCAAGCATTGCGAAAAACTAGCCTTGGTGGAAGATTTTTTGTTGCAACTATCCCACATTTGCGTTACATGGAGAGGAAAACCAAGAAAACTTTCCACGGTTAGCGCGACCGCAAGGATATTTTAACCTATATACCACTGAGGATATTTTACGTAAGCACTGTAGTCGATACGAAGCGAACGCTCTGTCCTCTGTGCCACAGCTACTCAGTAGAGTATTTTGGTAATATCTCTAAATCTCTTAAAATATGTATATCTGTTAACGGTAACTGTGGCAAAATATGCATATTTTGATTGGAAAAAAAAAACTTTTTTTTCTGTAGGAACATATAAATTTTTTTATTGAGTTTTTATTGAGCAAAAATAATCCCTTAAACCAAATTCATAAAATTTTAGCAATTAGGAACGGGACGGGTATAATTTTCGGCATTGGTAGAAACAGATTTACATAAAGCATCACTCTGGAATCGTGCTTGTCTTTAAGAAATTCACTGCGCAAGCTTGCAATTTCGTACAGTGATGTAAATGTAACCCAAAATATAAATGAAAAGTGGTAGTAAGATTTTAAAAGTTTTTTATTTCGCAAATTTAATTTATTTGGATACGTAAATCCATCCCCTTGTTAATGAAATAAATAAAAAGTGGTAGCAAGAATTATTTATTAATTGCGAAAACTTGATTTTGGTGATTTAAATCTGATCCCAAAATAATAAACGAAATCGAAAGTGGTAGTATTACTTTTTTTCCTAAAATAAAATCTAGGAAATATTAACTTAATTTAAAGTAAACATATAACTATTTACTAAATGGGTGGCATTTTCTCATGATCTCAGTATTGAAATTCAGGCGTTCATGTATGAAGTGCAATTGGAACCTAATTTATTATTATTTTTTATTAGAAAATTTGAATAAAAAAATAATGTTGATGCTAATTTCTCTAATTTTTCACGAAATATTTTCCCCGAATAGTTTATTAATGTGTGTTTTATTTTTAAGGAAACCTTTCCTATATTTATTCTATTATTCCATTATCCTCTCGAAATGTGTCGTTTCTATATGTAGGGTCTTAAATATGATCGTTCATTCGCATTGATGCTTCTTAAAATGAGTATGCAGGGTAGTTACGGTTCTATTATTTGATTTATTTAAGATTAAATTTATACCTTATTTTAATATATATTGTTAATTTGTTTAAATATAGTGGTTTTTAAAATCATTTTAAATTAAATATATAAATATGAAAAACAAATAAAAACATAAATTTTTTCTACAACTTTAAATATAAAAATAAAATTTTATGCCAAATGCGTATAATTAATGAGCCATGCGTTATATATCGCAAATATAAATTCTAATGTCACAGGAATAAATCTGATAATTCTATAAATAACTAATTAAACAGGAAATGTTACTCTTGAAACAAAAATCGAAGCGGAAGCTCCAAAATTATACTCAATGAAAGTTCTTATTAAGATATTGAACTACTTTTCAAAGCCTTGACACAATACTTATCCAGAGATGACAACTGCCCTCGATTCGACAAAATATTTAAAAAAAAAAGAACAGTAGATAACTACAAATGAAAGTTAGCAGATTTTCGGTTAGTTTGCCAACTATTTAAAATGCCCAACGCGGCTGAGCTGCAACGAAGTGGTGTATCACACATACCTGCCAACTCTCCCGCATTTTGCGGGAGATTTTATTTTCATATTTAAAGTGGTAGTAAATATATACTATTTTTTCTTTTATAAATTTAGTTTTTAAATGATTTTGATCACCACTATTCTTACAAAAATTAAGCTTATATATTAATATGCGTTACTATCATGGTTGTCAACTTAATTTTTCACAAATACAACGCATTTGTTTGCTTAAAATTGAAGTTTTAATTCCATTTTAATACCACTGGGAAAAATGATAATGGAAGGNTATTATTTGATTTATTTAAGATTTAATTTAAACCTTATTTTTATATGTATTATTAATTTGTCAAAATATGGTGGTATTTAAAATCATTTTAAATTAAATATATAAATACAAAAAATAAATAAAAACATGCATTTTTTCTGCCATTTTAAATATAAAAATAAAATCTTATATAAATTACGTATAAATCTTCAGCTATGCCATATATATGTATGGCAAATATAAATTCTAAAATCACAGGAATAAATCTGATAATTCTATAAATAACTAATAAAACAGGAAATGTTATTCATGAAACTAAAATCCAAACGGAAGCTCCAAAATTATACTCAATGCAAGTTCTTATTACGATATTGAACTACTTTTCAAAGCCTTGACACAATACTTATCCAGAGATGCCAACTGCCCTCGATTCGACAAAATATTTTAAAAAACAGTAGAGAACTACAAATGAAAATTTGCTGATTTTCAGTTAGTTTTGTCAACTTTTAAAAATGCTCAACTCGGCTGAGCTGCAACAAAGTGGTGTATCACATAAGTGGTAGATGGATCATGGATTAGAATCCCGTTGCCGTCGGACTAACTGTGGGAGGTTAGTCCGAAGGCAAACAAAACAATAAAATTATCTGTAAATCACAAATTCACTACCACTTTTTTTATTTACTTATTTCTATGGTCTAGCAGAGTTCCCACGAGAATTAAAAAAATTTGAAAACTGTTAAAACTAGGAAAATGAGGCTGAATCAATTAACCCTTTATGGTGCAGTGTAGTCATTCTAACAACATTAGTTCAACAAATATTACGAACCACTAGAAATGTAAAACTAAATGCTTTTAAACATTTAGCCACCAAGAACTGACATATTTCATTTCAGAGATGCCAACTGCTCCGGGCGCGCCAGAATAATTTAAAAAACGGTAAACAACTGCAAACTAAAATGTGCAAATGTATTAATTTTGCTTACTTTTTAAACGGTGTATCATGACTAATTTGGAATAAAATGGCGAATGGTATAAGCTTTCGAATTATTTAGAAGTAGTGTTAGATAAAAACTTAATAAATTCAATTTATTAGATCAAGAATCATACATTAATAAACTACCAATCGAAAATATTTATTTTCTGTCCGGAGCAAGTTGGCATATCTGTCACTTCAGCGATGCCAACTTTCTCCGCTTTGTAAATATATTTTCTAATGGTAACGAAATTTCAGTTATTTTTAGTTTCGTGTATTTTAATATAGTATTTTTTATTTTAAGTCATTTTCCCCCCACTGGCTATCAAAAATTCAAAGTATTATATGAAATGCAAACATATCTCGAAAAGTTTTTAAGCGAATAAAAATTTCTTACACACGATTATTTTATTTGCAATTAAAAGAAATCGTATGTTTGAAATTTGATTTCTTAGAAACTATTCGTCCGAATTCTCTCAAATTTTGTATTTTGCCATGTAAAATTACATTCTTCAAAATGATGTAAAAAAAATTTATACCCTACATTTCAAAAAGTTTTTGACGATTATTAAATAAATAATAATAAATATTTACCCAAAGTTTTATTTTCATGGAATTATTTTTGGATAAACAATTTATAATTGTGTGCAAAGCTTTTCAATTCGCTTAAAAAAGTCTGACGTAAGAAAAAGAAAAATATGACAAAATACGCTAAAAATCATCCTCTCGAATTATTAAGATCTAGTCCTAGAAGGTAAAAATGCGATTATTAGATCAAAAGTTATTCAGATTTTTAAGTTTAATAAATTGGCATTACAATGCATAACAAAAATATTAAACTTTGCAAAATATTTTATAGATTGGTAGGCATATAAAACCCCAAAATTTCAGAATTTTCGGTTATTTTCCCAACATTTTAAAAGCTTCACCACGACATAGCTACGACAAAATTTTCATAAATGTAAATCAATTTCACGTCACGATTGAGGAAGGATACACACCCACCAAAAACAACTTATCTTTCGAAGAAGAAATGTTAAAAAAGAAGGTGTATTAGTCAT